GAGAAACCATATAATTTAAACGTGGAAGTGCTCTAAAATATCATAAATAGTTAGTGGCCTAAGTTACTCAGATAGGGAATTCATATCATAGTTTTAGGCCCCAGACGATACAAGCAGAGTCATGCTGCTTGCAGACCAAGAGTTTTAAAACATGTCCAGCAAGATCATAAGCATACTTTTAAGTGTTTAAATTGAGACCATGGAACAAATTTTCACAGGAATGACACAAAGTCACAGTTAAAACTGAAAACAATCGCCAACAATACTACTTTTGACCCTTTCCTTCCACATTGACTGATTACACACTAAAGGTTTGCCCCCCCTCTGCCATGCACAGGTCCTTGGGGAATACTCCTGTTTGAGAGCGGACCTTGAAGTGGACACAGTCCTGAGGCTGCTGGCCAAGCTGTTGGACATGAAGACCACCAGCAGTGAGACTAAGAGCTGGGTCCTCATGGCCATGACTAAGCTCTGTGAGGGGGGGGCCGGTGTCTCTGTGGCCCGGGGGGTCTATGAGACATACAGCAGCTCTCTGGACACGGTGCTGAGGCAGAGGGCCCAGGAGCTGCAGCACCTCAGCCAGGACCCGGAGCTACGAGCCCGGGTGTTACCCCGACACACCGGCCTGGAGCCCCTGGAGGTAACGTGGGGCTGCAGAACTACACTAATGATGTTACATTGTAGGCTATTTATCAATGTGATGTTGTTTTCCATCAGTATTCCTAGAACCAGGTTGCATAACAACACTGTATCTGCTCCTGTTGAAACTTGTGGAAAGAAAAACATCGTAAACGTTTTATTTCTTGTAACCACAGAGTATGATGTTTCTTTGTAGTTCATTCTCTCTGGCAGAGTTAAGTGCTCATTATCTGATGTTAGGGAAACAGGACTTGCATGCACTTGCCCGCCATGGCAACCAGCTAATTACATTAATGATTATTTTCATCATCCTTTCAGTTGAAATCAAAGCGGCTGTTTAGGCATGTTTTAAGTAGTCTGATGGGTTTCGATTGAACTGCATTAAGTATCGGATGGAAGTAGAGAACAATAATAATATTCTTAATTCGATTAAGATGCTTCCTCTAGTCATTTTGTGGTCTTTTGTTGCACAACTAAGAGTTGTAACTTCTTTAGTCCTGCAGAACTCCTCAGAATGATCTCAGGATCCCCATTAAAGGAGAAGTCTAACATAATGTTGGTGTTGTTTTCCAGGTGGATTCCTCTCTTTCATTTCTGGATGGATTTGTGTCAGAGGCGTTGGCTGCTGGCGCTGCTCCATACAAGCCTCCGCACCAACGGCAGGAGGAACTAGCTCAGGCCAAAGGTGAGACCCTGAGCTTCAGATTGTGGCAGATTTGGCAGCGTGCGCTCTGCGTTGTTTTGATTTGTGCTGACTGTGTTGTCCTCCTCAGCGCTGAGCCTGGAGCCATACGGCCTGTCCCTGCCCCTCAGCATGTCCTCCTGCAGCATCACAGACAGACAGTCTCCCACGCTGCTGTCCATCAGCTCCGGGCTGTCGGGCAATAGCAATGACCTCTCTCACAAAGGAGGGTATGTAGACTCACACACAACAACAGCTTACACACAGATGCACGACTGGTCTAATGCTCATACTTTGATTTCTGTACCATCTCCTCTAGTCTGAGGCTGGATGGTGTGAAGCGGGTGTGGGGGAGGGAGGGCTACCTGGCGCAGAGGGAACCTGCGGAGGAGTCAGCCCACGTGGAGGTCCCCAGTACCCTCCGGTCCCCCAGCCAGCAGGGAGTGGCTGACGGGTCACACAGCCAGACCCCCACTCACACCCCCACCCCCGAGCCAGAGCTAGAGAAACAGCAGCTGGCCTCGTCGCTGTTTGTGGGCCTCGGCTCCCACAGCTCTGTGTGTTTGGTGAGATATTGGATTCTTATATTTTTCAGTTTAAGTGGGAAAGCACACATTGGTCTGATATTATAATTCTAGTGTCAGATCAAATGAAGACTTATGTGTCTTCATTTGGTAATAGTGAAGCCTGTGAAGCAGCAGCAGACATGTGACATCTGGTGCTTAATGCAACTTCACAGAATTCTAGATGTAGGGGGATGCAGGATTAATGTTTTACAAACTAATGATTTTATTATTTATTTATCCGCCATTAATTTCCTCAATTAAATCAGAAATTGTTTTCATATATAAAATGTCAAGAAAAGTTGACATCTTTAAATGGTTTTTCCAAAATCTAACAATACAAAAAAAAACACAATCCTCATATCAGAGATGCTGGAGCCAAATGTTGCCATTTTTGTTCTGAAAATATTCAGTTACAAAAATTGTTATAATTTCATTGTTTCAGCTCTATTTCCCACTCTGCTGTGATATTGAAGCCCTTTACAAATATAACCCTGCACTGTATTTCTGAAAGTGCATCTGTTATAACATCCTCTTTATAACAGATGGGGAAATCTGAGCCGACACCCCAGCGCTTCAGAAGAAAAGCCAGAAGTCCCGCCTCATCCTCTGGTGCCAGCGAGAACGTATCCCACTCCCTGGTCTCTCCTCCGATCACAGTGGATACCCTGATGTGTAACAACCTCCTGGACTCCCATATCACCTCCGAGCCGGACGTCTCTCCTCTGGAACAGACGCCCCCCCTCTCTCTGGGCCTCGCTGCTGCTAACGGCTCCTGTGATGAAGAGCTGCCTGACAGTGACGTGAAGGGAAGCAGCCCCTCTCTCATTGGGGATGACGCTCTGGTTGCAGCTGATCCGGCTCCACATGAAGAGCCACCTAAAGACTTGTTGCTCAGTTCTTATCTTCCTGCTGAACTCTCTGGACTCTCTCACTCAGAAATCACGCCTCTGAGCTCCGACCAAAGCCTGGATCTCTCCGCCTGTCACGTGCACAAAGAGGGTGATTTAGTGCTGGTGGTTTTTATCTACAACTCCTCTGACTCTGACATCCAACAGATTCTACTGGAGCTGGACTCAGAGGAACTTGAGGTACAGTAATTATGGAGCACATTATGTTGTAGCCTTATAGTTATCAGCCTTTCATATATATATTTTTTATATTCCAAAAGTCCCTCAAAATAACATTTGGGAAGAAGCTTTTATTGACTACTTTCCCAAACTTAAAAACACCTTACCAAGAAGAATGAGTCAAAAACTCTGCAGACATTTTTTAACTTCAGTTTAAAACCTACTTTTTTAACTACGCTTTTAATTAGTAACATCCCACGTCTATTTCTCTTTTTTAAAAGTTGTATTTTTTTATTTATTACTTTTAGTTTTTATCATATTTATTAATTGTGTCTTATTTCTGTGTTGCTTTTATTTAATTATTATTATTTTATCTTATTTATTATCTCGCTTATTTTACCCACTTTGAGCACACAGAAAAGTCCTAAACAGATACAACTTTGCTATTATTATTATTATTATTATTATTATTATTATTATTATTATTATAATATTAAATGGCAGTGTGTTGTCATGTGTTTCAGGTGTCCTGTGAGTGTGACGGTGCAGTGGGGGGGGCGAGGGGCCACAGTGTAGCAGTGTGTCAGTACTCCCTGTCTGTGAAGAGACCCTCAGTCCACGTTGAACTGGTCGGGACGGTTTCTTACCAGTTTCCTGTCGGGACGCCTCAGTCGGGGCAGTTCTCGTACAAACTGCCTCTCTCCAGCTTCATCAGGTGATTATTCTTTCCTTTTCTCCCATTGTCTGTGCAGAGACGTTTAGTTGCTGACTGTTATTTCAAACGTTTTCTTCAGACCTTTGACCCTGTCCACAGAGGAGTACGGGACAATGTGGCTAGACTTCTCTCACGACACAAAGCAGAACCTGACGCTGATCAGTGACGACCCTGAACCTCTCGCAGCTTCTCTGAGTGTGCTGAAGAAGAAACTCCAGCTTCATGTCGTGGAAATCATAGGTGAACACACATTTAGCATTTCTTGAGGCAACCGGCAGCTCCATAGCTTGCTCCGTCTGTCCAGGCAACAAGACTTTCCCGATCTTTGTTGGTCACAGCTGTTGCCATAAGAGGCTGAAAGTAGGCATGAAAGTCAAATGATTGTAAGGTTGTGTGTGTGAGAAAATGCATCATGCGTGGTCTCAGCCTTTGCAAATTCCCACTTGTAACTGCTGTTTCTAAAATAACCTGTTGAATTGTTTTCTATTATTTGAAGGCATCTCAAACTGACCTACACATTGACTTACAAATTGACCTACATATGTGATGCAATATTTGACTAATGGTTGATATGTTTTATATTTCATGCTATTACTGCATAAATAACCTTTTTAATTGTCCTTACAGGCATGGAGGGCATTGTAGCTTGCCGTCTCCTGCAGGATCAGCCGTGTTTGATGCACTGTCGCCTGCACGCCGGGACTCTGGCCGTGTGGCTGCGCTCTCCGGTCCCCGACCTGCCCGACTGCCTGATGTACTTCTGTCAGAGAGCCTTACAGGAGCACTGACCCCCCCCCCCCCCAACACTGACACTGCTGAGCAACACAATCACCTGACCCTAAACACTGAAGAGGAAGGTATGACTGTGTTAACCAACTGTTTATCTCTTCCACTACAACGTTTTGTCCATGAAGCATTCATTTGTAACCGTTGAACTGGTGTAATTATTTACAGAATTTGAAAGACATGGCTGGTAATAATAACCTCAGGGCCAAGAGATTGTGTTTTTTAAGCTACTTAGGGTGTTTGATGTTAAAGAATAACAATAATGTCTTAAGATTTCGACAGGGCTACATGATGACTTGAATACTTCTATGGTTGAAACACTGTTAGGGAGGAAATAAGTATAGTTTTCTTGGTGTGAAGGGGAAATCATGAATCTCTACAGTACGTGTTGTGCTGCTGGTCTGCATGCTAAATACTCAAATATCATGTCCTGCTTTCTGATTGGTGAAATGATTGATATCAAATCTGCTTTATTTTCTAGGCTAGAACGATCATTACAGTGATTTGTAATCAGACAAAGGCGATACTGAGTGAAGCGCTGACACTATTTATAAGGTGTCTTGAGGAGAAGCACAGGAAGGATCTTTTAGCAGTACCAAATGAAATGTATATATTTTTTCCTGGTTAGGAATCATTGATAGGAACATTTTAAGCACTCTAACTCAACCTGCTCATCCTTATGGCTGAAGTTTAAACACAAGGAAAATGTTTACATTTTTTTATCCCTGTTTGTCTCTACGTCTTAAGGACTGCATTATGCTGACACTGAATGCAGCCGTTACACGTATTTATTACATCTAAGAAGAGAGTGTGTTGTCTTAAAAATAGCAATGATCATTTAACTCTTCGATGTCCATATTGTGCGTTAATGTGAGGAGCGTTTCAGTTTTCCCTCATGTTTTGCAGACGCTGCCTTCTGCGTGATATGGTGATCTATGCATTCATGTTTCTGTGGGTTTCGCTGAAAGGTGGATTTTTAGTGGTCTTTGACTATTATATTTTTGTATCAATGCAGTATTAAAAACGTATTTATTGGATTTATATTCTTACAGAAAATATTTTATATTAATTTCTCTGAAAGAAAAAAGTCATAGTGCTCCTTCATTTGATCGTGCTGTGAGAGATTTGACTTGTCTCTGCCTGTTTTATGTTACCCAACCTGAAGGGAAGTTCTTTGTGGCCTGTGTCCTGACTGCAGGCACGGCATGAAGTTAACGATGTGTGTGAAACTCAACTCTAACCCAACGCCTTATGATCTAATGCCAGGAGGCGTGTTTGATTTGTGCCTGTGGTACAGAGGAAATCAATGTTGTGCCTGTCACTGCATTCTGCTAACTTATGAATAAATACATGTAAATAAACTTTATGACTCAATTGTTATTCATTCATTAAATACACACATATTAGCTGGAAGCAAAAAAAAGACATTATTACAGCTGTTAATAATACTCTGATGAGAGGTGCACAGGATAGGAAGTGCACCTCACCCTATGTTCTAAATAACACTTAAATCAATCATGATTATTTTCCAGGTGTGATTTCATTTCCCCATGATGTCAAAAAGAAATCTTGGCAATTTGTTTTGCTCTCCTGTTTGAAAGATCAAATGTTTTTTTTTAAACGGTACAGATAATCCCTGCAAACCTTCTTTTCGGCCTGTGCTTGAGTCTTAAACGGCAGAGAAAAACAAAACAAGGGTGAGATTTTAAAAACGGACCAACAGCGTCTCTGAGCTTCCAAAGAAAACACAGATGAATACAAAACACACTAACACATATTTACTCCTAGTTCAACAGGTTTGAACTAGGATTAATGTGAAAACAAATTACACAAAAGCAAGTTGGCAACACATCGCATGTAGTTTTCTTTTTTTGCCTTTTATATTGTTTTTTGTGACCTCAAGACAACTTATTACATTTTGGCCAAGGAATATTTTTGTATCAGTTTGATACTTTACATGCTTTGTAGTGGTTTTCCTCAAATCTAACCCCTGCGTGTGTCTCGGTGCTTCCTGTGTGGGTTCATGCTGTCCGGGGGATGAAGCGCATGGCCAGGCCGTGCTCGTCCTCCACCGGCTGCTGCGACAGGTTGTTGGTCTGCCTGATACTGTCCAGTGTGCAGCCGCGGCGAGGACACACGGTGTAACGAGACAACAAGGTCACCAGGATGGCCTTCATCATCACCATGGCGATGTGTTTGCCCACGCAGGAGCGCGGCCCGCAGCCGAAGGGTTGGAAGAAGCGACTGGGAACCTGCCAAACAGAAGAGGGTAAACACTGAGGCTTTGTCTCTGTTTCCAGAACCACGTAATGTTCTGATGACTTACTGTTTTGTCAAAGTTCATCAGGCTGAACTCCTCTGGTTTGGGGAAGAATTCAGACTTGTGCATGAGACCGATGTTGAGAATGATGTTGGTGCCTTTTGGGATTTGAATGCCATCGATGCTGTCATCTTCCAGAGCTTTTCTCATCGTGAAGTCAACCACCGGGTGAAACCTCAAAGACTCATTAATGAAACTATCCAGCACTTTCAAGCTATGATAATCAATGTTTTCATCTTTTTGACCTGGAAATGAAAAAGCAGCATTAATGGATTGTTGGAAGAGTTTCGTTGGAGAGAAACTGAGATTCATGAAGCACACATGTACTCACTTATAACAGTGTTCATCTCCTCCACTATCCTCAGCTCCACGTCTGGGTTTTGTTTCAGAAGCATCAGCATGAAGAAGAGGCTGATGGAAAGAGTGTCCGGTGCAGCAATCACCATCTCCAGCACGCACTGCCGGACGTTATCCGCTGAAAGCTCTCCGATGTTCTGTTCAAAAGAAAATGAAGGTACACACAGAGGTTGCGCTAGACTTTTTCGCTGCCCGTCATTTTGACGGACAGGATCGTAAAACGTCCGTCAAAATCCAGAATTACCCATCGGCCTTTACACAACTCTGACGAGGGGGACAGTTCACATGCGCCGTGTTATGCATGGCTGCTGCACCTCGCGGGAGCGTGCACAGCGTAAAGCCAAAACTCACAGACATTTCAATGATTTGTACGGCATGGCACAGTTAGGTTTGGAAACTGTATAATTTCCTTTTTGGAGGGCATGCATAACACGGCATAACACCGGAGCCTCGCTAAGGGGAAACTTTGGCGCTGTTCCGAGTTTGTTCTAATCTGTCAAAATGACGGAAAATATTCGGTTAACGCGACCTCTGGGTACACAGCAAACACATGACATGATCAGGGTGGACTGGGAACTATAGGACTGGTGGAATAGATGTATTAAAAGAGACGTAGGCCTACCTGAGCAAAGATCAGCTCTGTTGCAAAGTCACGATCATCATCCAACTTCTCAGACTCATTTATCATCTTCCTTTTCTCTTCAAGAAGGCTCTCCATCACATCTTGCAGCTCCTGGCTGTTGGCACACACATTAACAGAGAGATTAGCTTGAAGAAACCACGAGGCAGATGTTAAGTTGTTGTGATGTGCGGCTTTACGCTGCTGTCTTGTGCTTGTTGTACAGCCATCCAATCTTGAAGAAGATATCAGGCTTTATAAGAACTGTTTGCCAGGTTTCAAAGTAGTTTTGGATTTTCTGCAGCAAGTCCTTTTCTGAGTTATAAGCAGACAATAAAACATGAGAACAATGTGATATGTTTGCTGGCAGGTGATTCAGTTTGTATTATACATTTGCTGCTGACCGTTGAGCGGCACCCTGAGGAACAGCCTGTTGGAGATTTCCACCACAACGGCTCTCAGCAGATTGAGGGCGTCCACGTGTTGGGAGGGGTCGCTCATCTCCTGCAGGCGGTCCAGGTGTTTGGCTGTGGAGCTCACACAGACCCTCACCGTCCTCTGGAGGCCGGGGCCTGTCAGAGCTGTAAAACAAATGACAGTGGTGATTGCCATCTGCAGGGGTTTGAAAAGAGACACTTGATGTTTGTTGAGAGCTTTCCTTTTATCCATTGGAATTCTCTTTGAGCATAATGGGGCCCCTTAAAACTGTTTTAATTGAGTGAAAAGTCCACGTTGGTTACATTTTTTGTATGTTTCTTCAAAGAAAGAGGAGAAATAATGCATCAAAAAACATTGACTCCATACTCTCTTGTGTAAGGTAATTGCTCACCTTTAGAAAAATAAGCCCTCACTTTACTCCAGAGCGGGACATCGCTGTTGAAGATGATCCCCCTCCCCTCCATCCCGACACACTCCAGCCCTTTCTTGCTCCCAAACCTGGCCGTGTAGTGGGCGCTCTTCAGAACATGATACACTGCTGAGGACCTGAAGACGCTTTGACTTACTACAGATTCATCAGATAATGGGTAAATGTACAGAGTTGTTTATTTCAGTTGACTTGCCTGCTCAGAATGAGGGTCTCCTCGCCATTAATCCAGACTCGGACCATGCTGCCATACTTTTTGTTGTAGTAGTTGCTTGCTGTTCCTATCCCAGTCCAGATGAATCTGCTGTAGGAGAGGAGAGGACCGAGCCCTGCCAGGAAGAAAGGACCTGCCAGAGGGAAGCAGGTGATAAATGAACTGTGTGCTCCAATGCCTTAAGTGAAAACACAGGTCTAACTTTATGGAAATCAGTGAACTATCATGTCATTGTGTTAATATCATGATGCAGAAACATTTACTTTAAATTATGAACATTTACTGGGATTATTCAAATGCAAAACGCTGAACATTTTAAAAATCGTATCTATCTGCCAACACCTGCAGTCCTTTGCACACAATTGGATGAATCTTTACAAGTTAAGTATAAGAATAGAAGTCTTTTACCAGGTATATGTGAGCGGTGTGATCGACTCCAGACAGTGAAGAGCAGCAGCAGAAGAAGAAGAAGGGCGGCGGTGATTTCAGACACCGAGTCGACCTCCATCAGGATGGCGGTGAGTTTCTCCAGCGGCTGAATCCTCTTCACAAACGCACCTCACCTCACTCTGTCTGTCCTCTGCACATAAAGGTCTGTCTCCTTTCGCCAGAGGACAGCACAAACTCATCCATTAGTTACAAAACAGAACCTTAAACTGCCTACCTTTAAATCCATTGTAATTCTCTTGTCCTGATGTATTATTACCTTTTCTTCTTTACATTACAGCAGTTTTATCATGCTCATAACAGCTGAGTATATTTGAGGCAGAACTACATCGAAACACAATGCAGAATAAGAGTTTAAATTACATTTCAAAATGTGGCTAAGACGGTGTCTCAACACAGGAACAAAGTCCACATGTTTTAATGTATTTGTATCAACTAAAAAGGTGGTTAAACATTTGCTTGCACACCAAGACGTTTCTACACCTTCAACGGGATTATTAAAACAATTATTTATATCTATTTATTATAATCATTTACTTATTATGTTATTGATTTTCAAGGCAAAGCACAAATAAGCAAAATAACAACACACAAGAATAACATGGACAAATAACATTAAAATACATATAAACCAGGTAAGAATAATTTAGTGATGAAAGCATAAAATGAAATAAAGATATAGCAAATATAGTATATATTAAATGTACATCTTGTTATTATTACGAACATTTATTTAAATTCTAAAATGCACAAGTTATCAAATCATTTCACTTACTTCTCTTGGTAGTGTCCTGCTCCTGAGGAGTGAGAGGAAAGTTTGAAAAGAGGCAGGTCTATCCGCTGGTTTTCCGGATGATTTAATTCTCCTCATAAATCGCACTGGTTCAAGTGTTTATAAATCCTCAGTTAAGCCCTTATTTTACTGGTTGCTTAGGAACACTGCCACTTGGGGCTACAAGGACTTTTACATGGCCGAACAGTGAACAGGCAGGATAACAGCGCACATCTGAACCACAAAGCAGCCTCAGAGGGACCCAAAAGTGTAGTCTTTTTATTCATAAGAAAGCAAAACCCACAGGTCTTTCATACGATGTACTCTCTATCTTTAGTTTTTTTTAATAGGGGTTTATTCACATTTCTTCAAAAGAAAGAAACCCTACTGTCCAATTCACCCAGTTAGGAGGGTATTCAGGGGAAATTAATTAGCTGGGTCAGACTGACCCATGTCAAAGAGAGCAGGGATTTAACCAGCCATTCACAAAAGGGAACTGGGGGAAAAGACATTGTCATCTTTAAAATGGAAACACTTGTCATTTGAAATGAGTGTCCGTGCTCCATTACTTCCAAAATGAGCCTGGATGCACATTATAAAATCAGTGTCTGTGCAGAAGTTGTTTGCTTCTGATGAGCTGTTCTTCCAGCTCAGCTCCTGAATAGCCTAAATGAAAAGCTGTTATTCTGCTGAAGAAGATGTCGCCCTGGGGGGGGTATCCTGAATTGGCTGCCAAGCCTGCTCTCATTGTAGTAGAGAGACTCAACTTGATAATTATAGATTTCCGGAAACATCACCAGCACAAGGGGAGAAAAACATGTAACTATAACCTTCCATTTGGATGTCCATAACAGTATTCATGAAAATAAAAACTATTTACTAGAAAGATATTGTATTGCACGCACACACATCCACACACTTGCAGTCGTGCACTGAAAGCAATGTGAAAGCTCTTTTGTAGATCCAAAGAAAGATCCCCTTGTTCACCACTTATTTATTCCACTTTCATGTCATTTTGCGTAGGACTGACTGGTGGAAATTTTGAAAGAAAGAGGATGAGAATAAAGAAAGGCACTACACTGTGTGTGAAGGATATGTCATTCTTGAAATATGTCCATAAGTGGCTTCTGAATCAAGCAGGCCTACACACTTGATCTGTTTCCCAGATGCTTTTTCTTACGCAATGCATCATTTGGGTACGAGTTACAAACATATCTTGACATGTTGATTTCCCTCCGGCATAGTTTCCCTCTGACGTCTCATCTGTTGGCTGGTTATCAGATATGTGCTGTATGTGCTAGTGAGTGTCAGAGCTCAGATTACTCTGCAGCGGAGGAGCAGCAACAGGGCACAAACATGAAGGAAAGGAGTGGAGTTTGTCTGGCGTGGAAAGTGCTGCTGCTGGTGGGGTTGTGTGCACTGCTGCTGCTGAGCTCAGGAGCTTTGGTGTTCCTGCTGGTTCGACAGAAGGAGCTGACGGAGGAGCTGGTGCGGCTGGAGGCTCAGATGCAGGAGCTGTCCCAGAGCTGCAGGCTGCAGGCGGGGGTCCTGAACCAAGACCCTGCAGAGCCCAGAGAGCTGAGGAAGCTCCAACGCAGCAGAAGACACCAGGAGGAGGATCTGACCCAAGAGGAGAAGGACATGATGATGATGATGGCATACTCCATGGTTCCTGTAAGACACCTAATGATTTTAATGTGGGCTCTATGAACATGTGACTAGTGGAGAATGTGTTTATAAGACAGAACAGGGGAGCAATCGATAACTCCTTGCTGTCATCTTTTATAGAGACATTTCCTTCTCCTTTTCCCTTTTGGGAGAAGAAGCATGTCCGAGTAATGCAAATAATCTTAAAGTCTTTTTGCAGAGATCTTTTTTCCACTGAGAGTTTTCTGGACAAATACTTAGTGGAGCGTGACGGCTCCTCCCTCTACTGTACTCACATCCGACAGGAACCTGGCCTTTCTCCAGAGGGCGCTACTGTGTGTTTTGACAGCACATTTATCAGAGGCACACAAGTGCTTTACCAAAACAATATGTAGTTATAATATTGACCGGAAAGATAAATAATCATAAGTAATGATTAGTAATACTCAAACAAAAACTTGATTAGAACAACTTTTTTCAAGATTACATTACATTACATGTCACTTGTTAGACGCTTTTATCCAAAGCGACTTACATACTCAATACTGTGGACAATCCCCACAGGAGCAATTTGGGGTGAAGTGTCTTGCCCAGGGACATAACGACATGCTGACTGCAGTGGGGTTTGAACCTGTGACCCCCTGATCCGAACACCAACACACTACCCACTGCACCACACGCCTCGGGTGCATGGATGCACAAGATGCATGGATTCATTGTTTTTAACTGTGATGTGCCAGAAAATAGTAAAAACAATGCTCAATACAAGTTCCGAGAGGAAGGAACTTCAAATAGCTTTTTTTGTCCGATCCACGTCCATCCTAGAAGATGAAGAAAAAGTCAACTTTTGGCTTAAAGATAACATGCACAATTAATTAATTATCAAAAGTGCTGCCAGGGAGAATTGTGTTTAATCAATTAATCAAATCATCGTTTCTGCTCTTAAATGGGAGGTAAATATAGTTGTTTTTTGTCTTTCAAATCCTGAGAGGTGTCTCACGAGAAAGAAAAATAATATGTTTGCATCCAAGTGATTTAAAAACCAAACTATGAATTGTAGAAAGCCTCCAGATGTATTTACCATCAACATCGACCTCACCTGCTTTTTCTGCTTTCTTCATTTCAGGTCAAAGCCCTCATGGATCTGTGTAACGGCTCCAGAGGAGTCTGTTTAACAGGTGCACTTCATACTCTGTGGACATACATCAGCTGTGGTTTTCATGTGTGCTGCTCTACTCTATTTAACTTGTGTTAAACATTTCAATGTTTTATTTTTCCCCAGGTCCACCTGGCCCAAAAGGTAAAAATGGGCACCATAATTAATTGCATAAACTATTACATTAAAGTGAATTTGCAACTTCATTCACGGCACTTTTTCCTGTTAGGTTTGCCAGGTAGAGCGGGGTCAGCAGGACAGCAGGGAGTGCCCGGGCTGGAGGGGAGACGAGGGAGGAGAGGTGAGAGATCTGCCGTCTGAAATAAACAGAATAAGACTAACCCTTCCTCGAGCGTGCACCAGAACTCAACTCAGTGGTTTTAAACTAATAATCTGTCAATGACTAGGACGTCCAGGTGAAAAAGGAGAATGCAGAACCAAAGGAGACCCTGGGCCCCCCCGACCTAAAGGAGAGACCTACAATGACATTCTCGTTGAAGGTATTTTTTTTAACCTGATATAAATAAGTATATTAACAGAGAGATAATCTATCGGACTCAAGATAACATTTGGAAAGCTGTCACTTTATTTGATATCATCAAGAAGTTTTGTATATTCTTTATATAGAGGACAAACTTAACCTGTTTAGCTCCACTACTTGTGACGTTCTAAAATAATAAGATGGTCACCATGTTTTCCTCCAAACTTAATCCTATTGTGGGATATAGTAAAAAAGGGAACCAAAACCTTTGAGAACTAATTTGGGGGAAAAACACGTTTTGATTTCCCTTCAAGCTTTAATGTTTTAATCTTGTTATAGAGAGCGACTGTCATTGACTAGCAGTGTTGTTTGTTGATATCTCCAGGTCCTCCTGGTCCGAGGGGCCCAGCCGGCCCACCTGGTTCCCCATGTCCTGCTTGGTACTGTAATAATGAAGTGAGAAACAACACCATCGAAGAACACATCCATCAAAACAACATGTTGACGGGTGAGAACATCTTCACTGAATCATTATTAATAAGCCAGCACGTTTCACGGTTGTAGCAAGGACTTGGGATGTATTAGTTCTTCTCTAACAGAAAAGTATTACCTGACAACAACAACATATTTTCTATTAATTTAGATTTTGTTTTCGTTTTATGTTTCGTTCAACTTTCAAGTGTTGGTCTCTGAACATTGTATTTCCTTTTATTAAATTAAAATCTAATATTATCTAAATCAGGGATCTACACACTACCAGCCAGGAATTGTGGTTGAAAAATGCAAAGATATATTTTATTGGCCTAAATGCTGAATCTTAAATATTTAAAATCATTTACAACTATACAACATATTTGTTCTATTATTATTATTATTTTAAGAAAGGTTTTTAAAAGTTAAAACTTCATTTATAATCTTTTCCTACATATTTAGACTCATCTCCTTCTTTGGCGGATAAAGAAAACAGCAGCTCAACAATAAACAACACTGGTAGGATGAAATTCAGAACTACAACAATTATGAGTTAATCATTTAGGTGATATGCTGTTTGTGACTTTAGTCTTCATGTTACTTTTCATTTAACATTATATGATGTCTTTATTTCCACAGAACCACCAACACCACACGCAGCCAATGAGAGCCAAGACGTATTGAATGTTACTGCCTTTAAAGAAACTCTCAACACAAGTAAAGAGTCTGGTAAGCATCCATTATGTGAAAACTTCGCTGTAAGACCTGAGAACACTTTTCATCTTGTTTAATGTTTCCATCTAGAGTCAGTATCAGGTCATCCTGAGTATGGCCACGACACCTTGAACGAGACCAACTCAGAGAATGTCACAGAAGCATCAATCAGATTATTAACAGGTATTAACTGTGTTTTGGATTATAATTAAACATCTGATTAAAGGTGCTATAACACTGTTAATGTTTGTAACTGTTTCATTCTACAGCCCCACTTTCTCAAGACCAAAACAGTGGCGCCTTCAATGGCAGTGGAATCATTACGGACTTCCCAATGAAAAGTGGTAAGAAACGTTCACATTATATAGACTATGTTTGATCTCAGTATTCACCCATTCACATTTCGATTTAGATCACTCTAAAAACAAATGTAAAATCCAGTTAACAGTTATCCCGTCACTGTTGTTTCAAGACAAAGTATACCATATACTTGTTTAGTATTTTATTTAGTTAAAAAATATATGGTCATCTAAATTCAGTTTGAATTAATACAGATTTAGTGTCACCGCGTCCAGCCTACAGGCATGACACGTGGACTGAAAACAGCACACGAAATGTTACAGAGGCATCAATAAAGTTATTAGCAGGTAAGAGATACTCAGACTCCTCCATGAAATGTGTGGTCTTAACTTCATTCTGTTATTCATGCTGTCTTATTAACTGTCCACAGTCTTACCAACGCAACATCGAGCTCATGAAGCCGCAGATGATATTAATGTTACTGACACTGAGATACTTCGAGATACAGATTCTGGTGAGCTGGAAGGATTTATTTTAAGACCTAGTATTGTTATTTTTCTCAATAGAAATGTCAGTATCAGATCTTTTTAATCCTTCAGACCTTCTTAATATTAGAACATAGTTTAAACTCATAAAGTGAACAATGTGTGGTAGGACATACAAATTCAGCAAAACATTTGATATTCATGTATTGGTAAAAAATCATAAACACATGGAATAAAAAAAAAAAAGGCCATGTTAAATTATCACAATCATTTAAATCCAAACGTTGTTTCATCTATTTATCTGGTTACTATCCATTCCTTTATACATACAGTATACAACAACTATATTATTAACAGGTAGGAATAACTCTGTTTTGAATTATGAGTAAAAGGGGTGAAAATTACTTTTTTAAAACTTCATTTAATAATGAATTCCCTTCAACAGCTCCACTGTCTGAAGACCAAAACAGCGATTCCTTCAATAACAGTGGAGCCATTATTGATGCATCCATTAAAAGTGGTAAGAATCAGAATACACATCTGCTGCCCTTTATTCAAACAGGTGGAGGAGCACAATATACACTTAACCTTATAAAAGTTGTAGACTACTCACAATATATCTATTTGTCGTATAATCTTTTAGACTCTTCATTATCACCCCAAAACAATAACAACCAGAAACTAGGGAATGCAATTCCTGAAGAAATTGCTAGTGGGAATGCTTTATGCTGAAAAGCTGATGCTAAACTGCTATGCTGAAATGTAATGTGTAAGAAGAAAGTGAATCATTTAGATTAAAATGAAATGTGTAAGAAGAAAGTGAATCATTTAGATTTAAATGAAATGTGTGAGAAGAAAGTGAAGAATTTAGATTGAAATGATACATGAACACTGGGGGCTTGAATGTGTGATGAGAGAAGAAAATAAAGTAAAAAGGCTTGGAAAAGCAGCAGAATATTTGAACCGCAAACTTCTGAACTAAGTTGATGGCGAATGATCTGTCTTCATGGCAACGGCATTTGATGACACCCCATAATACGCTTAGATGCGTTGATGGCTGCATCGTTACCAAACCTGTGAAGTCTTGGGCTGTTTGGAGTATTTTCACTGAAGTTATGAGAAAACCGTGTTTCCAGGCGAGCATTTTGTTTCCATGGTAACGGCAATTGAAGAAATCTCAAAACTGTCACGTAGATGTCTTCAAGGCTGGACTGTTAGCACACTTGAGCACTTTTTGAACATTTTCATAGGAGTTATAGCGACATCATGTTTTATGGCGAGGGATGTGTTTCCATGGAAACGGTATATGGTGAGATCTCAGATTTGGCGTAGAGCTCTTGAGGCATGGACCGGTGATATATAAGTGAAGATTGGGGGATGATTGGACCGTGTCCATTGGACTTACAGCGACATCCTGTTTCATGGTGAGTGGTCTGTCGCCATGGCAACAGCATTTGATGACACCCCATAATACGCTTAGATGCGTTGATGGCTGCATCGTTACCAGACCTGGGAAGTTTTGGGCTGTTTGGAGTATTTTCACTGAAGTTATGAGAAAACCGTGTTTCATGGTGAGCATTGTGTTGCCATGGCAACGGCATTTGAAGAATTCTCAAAACTGTCACGTAGATGTCTTCACGGCTGGACTGTTAGCACACATGTGAAGTTTGAGCACTCTTTGAACATTTGCATAGGAGTTATAGTGACATCATATTTTATGGCAAGGGATGCATTTCCATGGAAACGGCATATGGTGAGATCTCAGATTTGGCGTAGAGCTGTTGAGGCATGGACCGGTGATATACAAGTGAAGATTGGGGGACGATTGGACCGTGTCGATTGGACTTACAGCCTCATCGTGTTTCATGGCGAGTGGTCTGTCGCCATGGCAACGGTATTTGATGACACCCCATAATACGCTTAGATGCATTGATGGCTGCATCGTTATTAAACCTGTGAAGTTCTGGGCTGTTTGGAGTATCTTCACTGAAGTTATGAGAAAACCATGTTTCAAGGCGAGCATTGTGTTGCCATGGCAACGGCATTTGAAGAAATCGCAAAACTGTCTCAAAGATGTCTTCACAGCTGGACTGTTGAAGTCTGCTGCATGTCAGTTGGAGTGAGGACATCATCGTGTTCCATTACACAGATGTTTATATTTGAGCTAACGAGGTGTGCAGAGATCACAGGTTTCCATTGTTCTGAATGAGAGATGAACCTCTTACATGAACGTTTTGTGGAAGAACCGTAAAAGATATCTGTGAAATTTCAAAACGTGAAACATGTCAAGGAAGTTGAGTATCTGAAGTGTAATTTTTGTGTAGTTTCGGGTTAATAATGTGGCCTTTTTGGCAGTTTAACTAAAGGTGTGCGGCTGCTACCGTGAGGAAATATCTGCCTGAAATTACAATGGGCTTCAATGGAGGAATTTTGAACGTTTTTGTCACTTCATGCCCTCAAGAGGCATTTTGTTTAATTATTTTTGCTTAATTATTTGTCATTTTTCAAGCTACGAGATGTTTTCCTACGTTTGTCATGATAAATTATGTCTCAGGAATGTAGGGTTTGGGAATTATGGCTGTTTAAAAAAAAATTATGAATGCGAATTTCAAGCTGTCCTCCACTCTAGCTGTGACATCACACACTCTAGTTAATGTTAAAATGTGAAGAAAACCTCTAAAACAAGGTCTGAACAATGTTTAATATCTCTAAAATGTAAAAGTTGTTTTACACGAATAATGTCAGAAAGATGTGTAACATTTTAAAGTTGGAATGAGGTTTCTGAGTGAAAGTATGAATGAACAGTTAGCAGTTGAACTCGCATGAAGATTTGTTGAAGTCTGAAGATTTCCTCCATTGACTTCAATGTTAAAAATGTGATGTATTATGGGATGTATCTCTAGAATTATGAAAGTTATGAATGAGAAAAGTAATAGCCATCAATTCTCGACCGAGCTGAACGTTTTGATGTTTGAACGGAGTTTCTGCGATGTTCAATGCGGGAGGAGAAGAGGGCCAAAATAACCCGACGGAATAATACTAAAAATGTAGTGGGAATGCTGTTAACAGCATTCCAACTAAATTAACTAGCGTTGAGAGATGGATTAACTGGATGTTCCAGGTTACTGGTGAGTAAACTGTGGATTTAATCTTCTACAGAAATAAACAACAGCCAAGTTTATGAGCTGAGGACTTGATGATATGCTGTTCAGGAATTAAGACATCACATTTGAATATGATTTAATATCAGTACCATCTCTTCTGGTTTAATGTCATCTTTCTTCCTGCAGAATCACCAACTCCACATCCAACAACCAACAGAGATGTTTCTGACTCTGAGAAACTCCAAAACATAAAAGTGGAAACTGGTAAGTAATGTTGACACAATGGAAGACTGTTAAGACAAACTTTCAATATATGAAGAAAAACAAATAAACACTATTTTCTTTATTAATTTTATAGAGTCAGTATCACTTAACCAGGATGGTGGTAATGGCACATTGAACAATGCCAATAGAGAACATGCTACAGAGGCAACAATAACAATATTAAGAGGTATACAATGTTTTTATTATGAGCAAAGCTAGTGACCATAACTTTATGATGTTTATTTATGTTTCATTTATTTGTATAAGCTCCACTTTCTGCAGACCAACACAGTGATGCCTTTAGTAACAGGGGAACCATTATTGATAAACCCATGAGAAGTGGTAAGAAACAGTCTACTGGGTTCACAATTTGGGATCAATATTCATTCACACATTTAGTTTTCCTCCTCCCTCAAAAGAGAGATATGTATTATCTGTTTGATCACTTTTTGTTGCATATTATCTTTCTCCCTGCAGAATCACCTACTCCACATTCAACTGACAACAACAGAGATGTTTCTGACTCTGAGAAACATCAAGACATAAAAGTGGAAACTGGTAAGCCATGTTGAGCCAGAGGGAGACTGCGAATACAAACTTTGACTCTATGAAGAAAAAGTTAAAAACACTTATACTTTTTTTTTTATCTTCTAGAGTCAGTATCACTTTATCCAGGAAACGGTCATGGCGCACTGAAGGATATCAAGAGTGAACATCCTACAGAGGCAACATTGACATTAGTAACAGGTAGGATATATGTTGTTTGAATAATGAGCAAAACAAATGACCATAACTTTAAATCGTTTTATTGAATGTGTCCTCTCTTTAAAAAGCTCCGGATTCTGCAGAACAAAGCAATGATGCCTTTAAACACAGTGGAACCATTATTGATAAACCCATGATAGGTGGTAAGCAACTGTCATCAAATGGTATCAATATTGATCATTCACACATTTGGTTTCACACTTTTATTTATCATCTGTTCCATCGCTTTTTGTTGAATATCCTCTTTCTTTCTGCAGAATCACCAACACCATATTCAACTGAGATCTACAGAGATGTTTCTCACTCTGAGAAACATCAAGACACAACCTTTGAAGCTGGTAAACAACCATTTTGAGCAGCAAGGATACTGTTAAGACAAACTTTAACTAAATGAAAACAAACCCAATACTTTTAATTTCAGAGTCTGTATTGCTTCCTCAAAACGACAGCCACGACATATCGAAGGACACCGAAAGGGTCAATGCTACAGAGGCGACAATAACAGGCAAGGAGCACTCTGTTTTGAATTAATAGGAAAGCAAGTGACTTTAAAACAATACATATAATGTTTTATTTCATTAAACAGCTCCACTGTCTGCGGACCAAAACAGTGATGCACTCAATAATGCTACACAGCCATCATTGAAAGGTAGGAAGCATTCTTTTTGAATAATATGTAAAGGTAACACTTGGTTTTAGTATGATTTAATTATTCTGCACTATTACACTATTGTTGTGTGTTAATCTATTTGTGTTTACCTTCATGTTGCAGCCTCACTATCTGTAGACCTGGAAAGGGTCAACAACACTGGAAACATTAATGATACACCCATGGAAAGGGGTATGATTGTGTTTTGTGTCCCATATTTATATAATATTAACTACTAATTTTAGTTTCTAATACTTAAAATGAAATTATGAATGATTCTACTTTTGATTTTGTTCTTCCCTTTTTCTAGACTCATCATATCCACTCCAAACTATTAACAGGATAAATGTGAAAAACAATGAACGATTGACAAAAACTGGTCAGTTATGGAAATCATGTTTCAAATAATGTTTGAATGTAAGTGTGTATATCAGCTCTAACAAATATTGAAGGGCATATGTGTCTTTGATTTAGCGTGCAACATTAGAAACATTAAATGTTCAGAGAAAGCCACCAAAATGCAAAGCACTTTTGGAGCCTGGATGTCCGATGCATCCCAGGTGGATCAAGATCGATACTGGCTGGCCGATCATTTTTCAGGTGATTTTCCTTTCATTTTATAAAGAAACCAAAAGTCAGACAGAGTTCATGTGTATATTTGAACTTGAAAACACTGCCTCTCCAGGTCGACTTCTGGTGGAGCACAGGAACATTTCAGCATCACCGGATACAAGAACCAAGACGATAGATGCCAAGGGGTTCTTCCAGGGCTGTGGTCATGTCGTTTACAAGAGCTCATTTTATTTTCACAACGGAGGAACAAACAGACTTAGAAAGTGAGTCTTAGTGGTAGGCTATACTTTTATTAACTTGCCTATACTAACTTTTGTTTAGGTCTATTTAACTAACCATTGATTATCATTTCACAGATTTGACCTGAACACCAGGAGAACCAAAACTCTGACCATGGCAAACAGCAGATATAACAACCTGAACTATCTTTCCCGCAACTCAAAGACGTATTTCAAGTTTGCAGTGGATGAAAACGGACTGTGGGTCATTTTTGCAGCAGATACAGAAGATGATACAATGGTTGCAAAGTTAAATCCTGACACATTCTCTGTGGAGTCTGTCATTAACACTCACTACCCTACAACTAAAGCAGGCAATGCTTTCATTGTATGTGGGGTGCTATATTTTACAGATGATAAAGACAGAAGAGTCACATATGCCTTTGATTTGATGAGAGAGAGTCCTCTGGATGCAAGTTTTGATTTGAGGCCAGCTAATGGCACCCTGGCTATGCTGTCTTATTACCCGAACAAAAAAGTTCTGTACATGTGGGACAACAGCAGTGTAAAGATCTGCAAGGTCAAACTCAAATACACCTAAGAATTACCACAAACCTTGTAAGTAATAAAGTTATTTTTCAACTCCCATTCAGTTGAAATTAATTTATTGACCACAATGCTTGATTTAAGCAGCATGAAGGATGAAGGGTAATTTGTAATTTTTGTATTAACCTCTTCTACACAGCACCCCCGATACCGGGGGGATAACCCGTCATCTGCAGGAATCTGCACAAAGCTAGCACCTCTGAATTAGCTATGAGCGAAACAATCTTAAGGCCATTAGCACAGAACTCTAACTACACTGATCGATATACTTATTGTATCTGCACAAACAAGCTTAGATAACATCCTGAGAGTCCACAGATTATAGAAATATAAGGATCATTACTGAGCGATCTGAACTCGTGACAGGGGAAGCAAATACAAACACGGAGATATGCTCACTTTAGCTGTTATTCTGATCAAAAGTCGTGTTCAATGGCATTAAAACGAGAAAAAACGCGGCTGAAGGTTAATCCATAGGTTATAGCAATGTGTCTGTCACTTTGAAAAAAATATTGATAGTCCATAATTCAATTTTTATGCAAAAATCGGAGAAGAAAAATTAGTTGCTAATGGTAGCCACCAGAGGATAGCGCAGCTTCCGGTTTTTCTATGCGTCTCTCTCACTCCTTATTTGGTAAGCTGTGTGTGTATGGGGAACTTTCCCTCGATTCCATTGGCTCTGATGGTTAGAAAGAGATGTCAATCAGCAAAATCGACCAAGGGGGGAAATCCAATTTTCTTTTGCTAAACCTCTCTAAAAAGGTAACATTTCACTTGTTTTGCATCAATCTTGATACAGGGTACTTATTATATGTTGTACTAAAGCTTTTAGTCTACCTTACCATCATCCAAGGGTAGTTTTCACTATAAGTAAAAAAAATGTTTTGGACGGACACTATAATTTACAGTTTTTTACTATGTTCAATCTGAATTTTCTTTCAAATAAAAAACATCTATATTGATTCTGACTTTTCTACATCCAACTCATAGGTTTATCATTACTTTGAGAAAAAAGATTATTAATTTAACCCTTTTAGAAGGGTCATTTGTTCTGGGAATGTCATTTTCGAGCCTGAGACCTGAAAAACAGGCTCAGGGCTTAACAGTTGAGATTCACAGAGCTGCAACAGTCTGCTTCTATAATAATCTTTTCATATTACCTAATTTGTTGCAATATTTGTTATTGAAATAAACAAATATATTTTACTAAATGTATCGTGTAATTTTGATGCACTGTGGGTATGTTATGTAAGATAACACATATAATGATGAACAAGGGCTTTAGATGTAGTCTACACACATTGAGTGCTGATAGATGAGTTTGAGCAAAAAGAGGGTTTAATATCCAGAAGACAACATATACCGGTCAAACATTACAATTCTGATCGCACAGCCAGAGAAAAATCATGTCCTCTTTCTAAATCAAAGTTACTTTCATTTATTTATTGCTGGCTGGCTTACGTTGTCTTCAGTGGATCTAATCCAGTGTTTCTCAAACTTTTTCATACCAAGGACCACTTAACCAATAAAAAAACACTCGCGGACCACCTAACTCCACAAATATCCCAAAACACATCGTTTTTCTAGAACAGATTATAAATCGCCTGAAAATGGTACAAACAAGTGGCAACATGTGTGACGAAGGTGTTGCCCTGGGCTATATCATGCAATATAAAGTGAAACTTAAGCTCGTTCCATTGCGGAGATATTCCCGCGAGAGTGCGGAAAACTTAAATGTATATATTTATTTCAAATGTGAAATGTTACCAATATACTCACGGACTACTAGGTGGCGATCACGGACCACCAGTGGTCCGCGGACCACACTTTGAGAAGCACTGATCTAATCCCACTAACAGAGTGATATGAGCAGCGAAGAAAAGAAAAGTCATGTGATTGATTTAAAGAGAAAACCAGCCAGGAGGAGACAACAATGCAGCTAGCCCACCTGGGGCTCTCAATACAATTATACCACATGTTTTCTCAATTTTAAATGACCCTTGTAAACTTTATGTCTGTTAACTTTGTAGATGTTGATTTACAAAGAGGGTATTATGCAGAGATCAAGTTGCAAAGTGTGACTGATAGGAATGTTAATCCTCCTCTGGAGAAAAATATTACTCTAGAGCTCACTTTTTTGTCAAAAACGAAAACAGGACATTATTAGTGTAGTTATATAATACACTGAACACAAATATAAATGCAACACTTTTGTTTTTGCTCCCATTTTTCATGATATGAACTCAAAGATCTAAAACATTTTCTAGAGCATCCCAAATGTTGGGGGGGTCGGCTTTTTTTATCACAGTCTTGGATATGTCAAAGATTAACAACAACATTGATTTTGGTTGATTATTAGTTTTTGCACAAAATCAGATTGAACAAAAAAGTTACAAATTAGTCATTCGGGACAAAAATGTCCACCTCCAAAAACTGCTCTAAAATGATTAATATTGTTTTTAACTTTTTGGGGTTAAATCTTTCAATCAACTTCAGTCCTGATCAAAAATACCAAATGTTAACTTATGTTCAGGATTTTAACCCTTTAACTGCCAGTTTGAAAACATGAATTTGCTTTTTCTATGAAAAACATGCACAAAAAGGCAGTTATTTTCCATATAATAAATGTTGGGGGGGGTCGGCTTTTTTTTTTAACACAGTCTTGGATATGTCAAAGATTAGCAACAACATTGATTTTGGTTGATTATTAGTTTTTGCACAGAATCAGATTAAACAAAAAAGTCACACATTAGCCACTCGCGGACAAAAATGTCCCATCCACTCCCATTATAACCACATCTTTTGATCTCTCCGCCATACCGGTATAAAATCATGCATTTGGTAATGTCAGGGTTTTATATTGGAGGAAAATAGTTCAATTTGTCCTTTTTACTGTATATCACCAGATGTGACATTTTACCATTGAATTACATGCTTGTCATTTCTTGGTTTCTTTGCCTGTTGTATAATGGGGCCCTGCCAGCCATTGGAATACATGTATGCAACTAATATGATGTAGGTGTGTTGGTATGGATGTGGAAGAGTGGTATCAGCTGAGAAATGTGTGTGTGTGTGTGTGTGTGTGTGTGTGTGTGTGTGTGTGTGTGTGTGTGTGTGTGTGTGTGTGTGTGTGTGTGTGTGTGTGTGTGTGTGTGTGTGTGTGTGTGTGTGTGTGTGTGTGTGTATGGATGTACAGTGTGTGTGTACAGAGACAACAATATACAGTAGATTTGGTTTACAGCAAGTCGCAGTTTTTGCCTCATATTTTTCTTTCTTTCTCTCTCTCTTTTTCTCTCACTCCCTCACTCCCAAACTCATACACACTCTTACATATTAAACCTCCTTATACCTTAGCCTCATCCCAATACCCCTCCTCGACTCCTCTCTACCCCTCCTCCGGGACTTGACCCGGAAATCGATCAAGACACTCCATTTTGAAGGACGTCCCAATAGCTGAAATGCACACGGAGGAGTCGAGGAGGGGTTAGGGAGGAGGGGTGCGGAAGGATACACGCGAGCAGACTACGCGGAAGTGTTTTCACTACTCGCGTATAAAAGCCCCGCCCCCACCTTCACAGCTGGTCCATTTCAACAGAGGAAAACCGACAACTGGAAGATGAGTGGAAAAGCGTCACAAGTGCTATAAGTGCTCACAGCTCCGTGGGAATTATTATGTGCAATTCATTTCTAAAAGGCTTTCACATTGCTATAATTATATTTTTATTTAAATGTAGGCTACATTTTACACCAAAACGGAACACAAAAGCAGGACCAACCATCATACATTAAATTCCTTGACTAACAAGAGAAAGATTCATTCATTTAAATAAATATTTAACCACAAATGGGCCGGTTCTAAGGGGTTATTCAGTTAAGCCCAACGAGAGGGGATACAGCTGTGCACGTCATCATTAACAGACGTCGTTTAAGAGTGACGTTTGAGTGAACGAGGACATCCCAATTAATACCTGAGGACTCCTCCGTCCTCGCGGCACCTCCTCGTGTCTCTCGCTCGCATCTTACGGAGGCGGAGCTAAGATGCTAGGAAGGGACGCGAGTGAGGGAAAGGAGGAGTCGAGGAGGGGTATTGGGATGAGGCTCATGTATGTGTGTGAGTGATTGTGTGTGAGAAGGAGACAGGAGTAAGTGTGCTCTCATGGCGTTTTGTTTTTCATGTGTGCTGTTTCATGTGTCTTTGAGGTAAACAGATGTATGATCTTGACCCAGCTTGACCTCGATGTTTTGAATTGTTTGAACTTCAAAGTCTTTTGATAATTTGTCAAACAGACATACACAGCGATACATACACTCTTTGAAGTAAATTAAAACACCTGGCTGCAAAGCCAAAGCTTCAAATATGTGTAGTTTGGCTGGATGGTCATTTCATTCCTGTGATACGCAACAACCAGTAAGATGAAGAGGAGCTTCTCTGTGGGACAAGAGGTATCTGCTCATGCAGCCCCTAACTTCAGCTGCAGGACTCATCCTCTGAAACAGAAACACCCTGAGAAGGAGAATCTGGTGTGGATCTGCCTGAACTGTGCTTGAAAGGAGTCAGCACAAGGATAAAACACTTTTTTGCCAAACATGAGAATGAGAATCTGATGTGGAGTTTGTAGTGAAGTCTGATCCTTCTTCGTCTGGCCCTTCCCCTGAAAGTGGAGAGGACACAGAGGATCCCATCCCGTAGCTGCGCTACATTCCTCTGCACTATCCTATCCGGAGGATCGTGTCCATCGTGGCAGTGGGTGGACATCAAAACATTTTCAAATCTGGTTTCCCTCTCACGAGGAAACGCCGCACTACATTCCTGCTGCCAGAGGTTTGGTTTCAGGGCCCACGCGTTATGCCATTACGAGTGGCATAAATAAGAATTCATGACGTGGAATCCTTCTTTGATTTATTCTTTACCCCTGAGGGTAAAGTATAAGAAGTAGTATCAGTAGTATTGTTGACATGACACACCTGCATGGGGGACGTTCGGTGGCAAACTGGAGGGATGTTGATGCCACAGATGTTTGAGCAAACATTGGATAGGATAGTGCAGAGGAATGTAACGCAGCTACGGGATGGGATCTTCTGTGTCCTCTCCACTTTCAGGGGAAGGGTCAGACGAAGAACGATCAGACTCCACAAACATCTGATCATTTCTCTAAGCATGGCTTCACGTGGCGGCGCAACGAATATTCTTGTTACTCCTGGGGCAATCTCTGGTGCTATCGTCCCCTTTGTGGTGTGATTGAGGAGGAGATCACTAAGCACTTTAGTGAACATCAGGCTTTTTCCATCTAAAAGGTGTTGTAGTCCTTCATACATCTCAACCTCATCACCATCGTGTTGTTCCTCAGCAGCTCCTCAACCTCCTCAGCAAAGGACCTCATTGATTCCTCTGTATCAACGTGGGATTTCGGGGCAGAATTGTTCCTTCTTCTCTGCCCCCATCTGATAAATGAACTGTTTGGCAAACTGTTTGGCAAAAAAGTGTTTTATCCTTGTGCTGACTCCTTTCAAGCACAGTTCAGGCAGATCCACACCAGATTCTCCTTCTCAGGGTATTTC